ATCTGCAAGAATAATTGTCCCCACCATTTAGAAATCGGGTCCCGAAGTAACTGAACAAATTGAAATAAAAGCCAAATAAACTCAGTTTGTCAATCAGATCAGTTTTCCATGCTTGCGCCCGCGGACATCGGGTCATGTATACCAACCTAATATGTCTCCTTAAAGCAAGAGATGTAAGTAGGGTACGGATGCCTTTTGCGACCTCCGCATAGCTCTTTCTACCAGGCTTCGCCTCTATCTTACAACTCATACAAGAGAAGGGTTGACGAGATTACAGGTAAGACAAAATTGAAGAACCATCCATAACGTAATTTTAATAACACCTATTCATATTAAATTTGAAAATACTCTAACAGTCCTAGGATAACTATTTCACTTACCCCGAAATCCCATCCCCCCCGCTCATCCAATTTTTTTTCCCGGAAATAACCGCCTCGTGACTTCGGTCACTTCTTGTTAACGTGAGCAGTTCCTAATTAAGTGTCTGAGGAAAACTGTTATTTAATTGGACCTGATTAGCTTTGTTCTGTGTTTGGTCTAAACAGGTCGTGCCACATTCTCAACCAATCAAATGCAAAATTTAGGCCCACTGCAACTTGTTCATCCTCGTTTTCCCGCGCTTATGTTTTATTTGAGTTCTGATTGGTTCCTTGTCATATCACTCTCTCATCTCATCGGTTACTATGACTGCTTTGGTTCTAAAACAATCCGAGTCGAAATACACTACTTAAACTGGATACGTATTTACAAAATATTTTCGACACTTTTTTCAACCTCTCAGTTGAAATTTTTACAACCAGACAGCTCTATTGAAAATGCAGATTTAAGTCTGTGAGGTGAAGAACTCGTCAAGAATCGTATTTTCAGCATCGCTCGAGCTCTGCGAGCGAGAAAAAGTCCGCGGTAATAACTTCGCTTGGTACACCTGTCGTCCTCTATCGTTTATTTGTGAGATCGTAAGAAATTCAGGAGTAGCTTCAAGTAAAGTGAATGCTCCAGTTTGCCCATTGAAAAACCTGAAAAACATCACACATAGATTATCAAAAATGACATAGAGATAAACAAACTGATATCTCTTTTAATGTAAGCAGCCAGCGGTCAATTCCCCCTCAGCGCATGACAACTTCGATCTTGGTTCCAAGCCTCCGTTAACCTGGTCTTGCGGAAGGAGCGCCAATCGCTGTTCAAGGGAACGAGGGCTCGTAGAAAGAGATTGCAGAAACAAAAACTGTAAAACCAATGACGGTTGTTTATTACCAGTCTAGGGGTAAAAATGTGGGTCGAGAATTAGGCTGGTTTTCTCATCGGTAAACCGCATTTATATCCGAGGTCACTTTGAAGTAGTTAATTCTAAAGGAGACAAAACTTTTCAGCAAACTACCTGGACAACAGCCAATTTTAATTTAATCACTCATTGCAATTCAGCCATTTTTGACCTCATTATTGTCAATTTGTAGCTCAGAAACCTTCAGACTAGACAGGAAACTTGATCGAGAGGCACTATCGATTACAAGGCTCAAGAAACAATTGAACTTTGAAATTGAACTTAAGCCAGGAGTACATGCCACACATTATCCATAAATGATACATGTATAACATCTCAACAGCATGAAAGACGCTTGTTACTCATGATTCTTGTATATGTCCTCGCTCTCTAATGAGTTTTCTTCTTCCCACTAGAAAAGAATCGAACTGCGAAGTCGAAATGTCTGGTTTTTTTGGTGGAAAACAAACTTTTTTCTCTTGTTCGAAAGTTTAGTCAACCTTTCTTTTACATTTCCATTTGTTGTGATTTCTCTAGCTTATTTGCTCCATTGACTATGTTTCTGTTTGTTTGTTTGTTTGTTTGTTTGTTTGTTTGTTAAATCTGGCAGTTAGGAATTTCAAAGTGGTTGACCGTGACAGACAGACAGACATGGGGGACAAACAAGCGTAACGCCTGGGATAGGCAGACAAAGAGAGAAAAAAAAAAAAAGTAAGAAAAAGAAAAGTAAAAAAAAGAAAAAAAGTAAGCAGTAAGACACATCGACAATCGACAGACCAACAGACAGACAAAGTGACAAAAGCAGATAGATGGGAAAACCAACCATCAGATGTACGTCACATAATAGACAAACAATGTGAACAGCTTTACAGCCAAACAGACAGACGGATACAGTGTACTGAGATAGACAAACATGCAGCTGTACAGATTGTAATTCATACGTGCAAATAGGCCAAACAGATCTAACCAGGAAGAAAACGAAGTCTCAGATTGTCTCAGATGAACATTCGATTCTATTTCACTTACTTTAGAGACGATTGTACTTTCCACCTGTGCCCCTCCAATGGACTGTAGAAATTTCCATTTCCTGTCACAAAGTAGTGTACATTAGAGTGCTCTTCCTTGAGATGCTGAAAGTAAACCCAAAATTTCGAATGTAATTATTCGCGTTCTGTTCTCGTACGTACAGTAAACCTCCATCCAGTACATATACCCTCGGGTTAAGAAAGCTTTTTTTGAAGTGTCCTTTCAGTAATCGTAAGAGACATAAAGGTTAAAGAAACATTGACGAAATATACGCAAAGAACAATTTTGTTGATAGAAACTGTGTACAGTATCAAGAACAATCTGACTACGAAATGTTTCAACACAATACCAGAACAATCTCTCACTAACTTGTAGATTATGATCATGACCGCTGAGATAAACTGTGAAGTCATTCTCCTCCAGCAGTGGTTTCAATTTAGATACCAAATAAGGAGTGTTGCCATGGATACCAGCTGATAGCACTGGATGGTGACCAGCTACTATCAGATAATCCGCTCTGAAGTATAATTAAATAGCATATTAAGAAGCTTTCTTCTCGCTTTTCACACAAATCTCTGCAAGATAACAATGCTGAATTGGCATAGCCGCACACTTGTAGCACTATGTAAGCATATTTTTACGTACGAGGTGGCCTCAAGTATACGCCTGGTGGTTTCTAGAGGTCACCTCGCCATACACTGAACCATGGATAAATGGGTAATAAAAAAGGAAATAAGGCAAATAAAAATAAAATCACTTAATCAATGGTTTCACCTGCCTTGAGTCTCTAAGCGTTTGCTCGATCCATTCCAACTGATCTTTTTGACCCGGCACATTCTTTAACTTTTTTTGACTAAATAAGAGAGAAATATAGTTAAAATAAAGCAAGCATCGAGGTATTTAATGGCTGTGCATGGAAATTGCATGCAAATTCGTATGTGACTTTGGCTACTGTTTTGAACGAAATTGTGTAGTTACGAAATCACAGAATAACGAAATTGCGGAGACTTTCTTGACATCTGGAAGACGCCAAAAGATTTCAAATTAAATCCTGTAAAAAGTTAGTGAATCTCTTGTAGCCTTTTTTTTACACTTGCATTATAATTCTGTTGAATCCTAGTTTGTCGCTTAAGTTATGATTCTGCGTAAAATATTTAAAAGCTGGTGACGCGACAGGTTTGGATGAAGTGAAACCTGAATTCTTCTTCGATAGCCGCCCGGAACCCCCTGCCCCGGACCCC